TTTATATAAATTAATATATAATTAATAATTAAAAAAATATAATAAATACATCTTATCTTGGTCTAAAAGCACAAGATAAAAGAACTCTTTATTCCTTTGAAGAAAACTTTCAATTCTCCACATGCCAACGCACCATTCCTTTTTGTCCACTCCGAATAGGCAGCTCCTAGAATCACAACCAGTCAAATGCCCATATAACGCTAAGCAAACACCACAGACATCCAACAAGAAAACTTGTGCATATATGTAAAATGAAACCTCTCTCTCTCCATCAATGACCCACGTATCTATAAAGTTGCATATTCTCTCTCTTTTTCCATCAATTGCTTCTAATGAAAATATTAATTACCTAACTGGGTCAAAAAAAAAAAAAATCACACACACATATATATATATATCAACAGAAAGCTCTAATCATAAGGATTTTAAAGACACCCATATTGCCTAGGTAAAATTCAACTCTTTTTAAGAAATTTACAATCAAAATTTTGACCTTTATAAATCAAAGGTCTTTTTCGTTATATATTTTTGTTTTTCGGTTGATGAGAGACAGAAATATTGTTAAAAGTTTTCTATGGTAGCTTGTGTTCACATTAATTATCAGACTTCAGATTCCCGTATCATTCAAAGAAGAAAAGTTCATTTTGTTACCCTAGCTAGAGTGGTGCAAAAAAACAAGAGAAAAGCTCAGAGTGCCGAGGATTTGCCCGAGATAGTGAGATGTACAGATAGAATGAGTTAGATGAGGATGACACCAACAAAATATTGAAACCTGTATCATACTCCTAATGTAAAGATGCATATTCTCTCTTTCTTTTTTTTTTTCTAACAAGTGCCTCTTATGAAAAATTACTAATTACCTGACTGGGTCCAAAAAAAAAAAAATCACATATATATATATCAACAGAAAGCTCTAATCACAAGGATTTTAAAGCCCCCATATTGCCTAGGTAAAACACAACTCTTTGTGAGAAATGTACAATCAAAATTTTGGTCTTTACAAATCAAATTCTGTTATTTTGGCTTTTCGGTTGACGGTGGACAGAAGTGACCCTTGAAATCCTTCCATCGAAGTTTTCAATCTTCTCCACTTGCAAAAAGCAACATGCGTGTGTTTCACTTTCAAGTACTGCTCAAAAAAAAAAAAAGGGGGCAAAATGCGGGTGTGGTTACTGATGGTCAACAAAATATTATATCTTAAATATTTTAGATTCCCATTTATATGTAAGGCCTTTATTCAAAGAAATATATAGTGTCTTGGGTCAAATTAACTCAAAACGAGAAAAGTTAGAGGTGCGGAATGGATTTGCTGAGATGTATTGTATGAGTTAGGTGAAGATAGCTTGCACCAACATAAGTGATTCAATTAATATCTTAAATCACTTTATTCGTTTTTGGGTTTCTTCAGGTTCTTTACACATGTAATTTGAATAAAATAAAGTGTATATATATGTCATAGGAAACAAGGGAAGGAGTGATTACATATGAGGCCACACAAATCATGCATGTTAACAAAAAAAAAAAATAGTGTTAAAAAGTAGGAGGAATTACACTAAAAGATGCATATACTCTCTCTTTTTCCATCAATTAATTATCTCTCACAAAAATACTAATTAGTCGACCAAGTAAAGAAAAAAACCTTGTCAGGTATAATATATTGCATTGTTGTAAATTAAGAGATGTTAAGCTCACAATATAACATATATTATCTTTTAAAATATTTAACTAATCAAAGATGTTAAAAGTGAAAAGATCTCACATTAAATGTATAAAAAAATAATATGTGAACTAAATATAAAAAAATTATTTAGAACAGGCCATAAATTGAATGTAAGTTATTACCTGGAAATTAATGCCATTGTGGACAAATGATACCTGAGCCAAAAAGTGCAATTGTGAGCAAATGGTATCAAAGCGAAAAAAAGTACAATTGTGGACAATTGTCCTTTTCTTGATTGCCCTTTCTCTCCTTGAGATAGATATACGCCTATAAAACCTGCGATCTTCGGACTTCAGAGTACACTGCCCCTCCTTCTCCACACCAACTTCATAGCTAGCTTTCAAGGTTCCTTTTTTTTCTGGCCGAAACACCTTACCAGCAAAAATGGCTTTGGTTTCAACTCAGAAACTGCCCAAGTATTCTACTTCTACCCGTGGAAAGCTTACCTTACCACAACATGTGGTTGGGAAAATACTTATGCTTTTTCCTCCAGCACTGCGAAATGCAGGAAAGGCAGAATTGATTATGTTTTTGGAGGGTCCTAATGAGGGTAGTCGCCCTTTTGTGGTAACGGCATCTATTCAAAAACTTAGGAAAAACGGGGGAAATGGTGTGAGAGTGGTTCTCTTGGAGAGTGGGTGGATGCCTATTGTTAGGGAACTTCAACTGGAAAAAGGAGACACGGTGAATATTTTTCTCTTAAATAACATGGCGTGGACTTACTTAATTGCAGTGGAAAGGGCTCCAGATGCCGACCGAATTGATGAAGTTGATGCCATGGATGAGGATGTAGTGCCGGAAGAGGCTCCAAGAAGGATGATATTTGACCTGAACGAGCCTGCCCCACTAGACATGGATCTGAACCAACCGAATCAACAGGGAAGGATGATGTTCGACCTCAATGAACTGGCACACCCCGACATGGAGATCAATCGCAACGATGAAGACTGAAGGATGGGGCCAGGAGAGTGAATTGGTATGTTATATATATTCTGAATTACTGATATGTTAATGGTTAACTGTTATTTTTATAATTTTTGTATAGAGAATATCCCTCTTCTTCCCCTAATTCATTTTATTTGAGATCGAGTCCCATGCACGAATGTGACTTGTTCAATTTCTTTGCTTGTCATCCTTTTTCAGAAGGCTTTTTTTTTTTTTTTTTACCAGGTTCTTTGTTGGGCAGGTTTGGAGATTTACTGATAAGACCGTTCTACAGAAGTGGTACAAGTGTTGTTTCCTTTGGGCAGAAGTGTTGTTTCCTTTTTAGCATGTATTAGGATTTTATTGTTGTTGTTGTTGTTGTTTTTTTTATTTTTATTTTGGCTTACCGTAGGGTGGGAGACTTGAACCTCCTCTAGTGCAGGGATCAGGACCCCAATCTGAACCACAGCATAGCGCCCGCGGGGGAAACGAATGGGTTGTGTTGCTTAAGATGTAATGTATTACACTTGATTTGATAGTCAGATCGGGTTGTACGGCAGTTCAATGAATGCACAATTTGTCAGTACAGCTTCCTTGGGATTGGTTGGCCTTTTTTTTTATGTTTGGGATTGGTTGTCTTTTTTTTTTTTTTAATGTTTGTTTGTGATATTATATATATGGAATGAAGTATTTATTTAAAAATGGAAAACTTGAACGTTGATTTCCTTTTTGTTTTTACGGGAATTTAGATTTCTTTTTTCGTTTTATCCATTTGAGTGATTCAACGTCATATACACACATGATGGAGTTTAATTTAATTAATTATTACTATATAGTTTTCCAAGTGACTACAAACTACAAAGTCCTCATCTGGGCCCCAGCTGTTGGCCGAGAATTTCTCAGGCGATCGACATTTACTTTTGGAATCAACTTCGGCGACGTGTGGTCGGCCGTCGCCGGTGAAGACGAAAATTCCAGTGAGATGACACTGAGAGAGTTCCGACCTCCACAGATCTAATGGACAATGCCTGCCGGCCTATAGAAAGTTTAATTTACGGTTCCGAACAAAAGGGCGTTGGTAGGCGAACACGTGATTTGAAATGTCGGCTCTCTTTTTATTTTTATTTTTTTAATTTAATAGGAGAAAGGAGAACCACTTTTCTGTGCAACTAATGTTTTGGGTTTTTGTTTTTCCGAGCTCTCAGAGCTTTCATCCGCCGTCATGGCTCTGCTAATGAATCTCTCGGTTCATTCTTCGCCATTTTACCTTCTTTTCCACCTGTTTCTCACACTTTCCCTTTAATTTCTCTTCCATCTAGTGTAGTTTTGGTTTAATTTTCGAAAATCCCAAAAACATTTTTTCTGTTTTTTTTTGCCCTCCAATCAAATCCTAATCTAGACAGGGATTTTTGGTCTGAACACAAGGAGAGTCTTTCTGCTGTAGATCTGGGGCTTCCTAAAGATAAGGATTCGAATGTTTCAGTCGAAAGGATCGGAGCCTCCATCGATAATACTGGTGAATCGAAGGTGTTATGCTTGGTCTCTAACGCCGGAATTTACATCTCTGTAGATTCAACGAATCGAATCGATGAAGCCATGCTTATGGGGGTTTTAATTAGCCGAGAAGATCAAATCCTTCCTGGGCAATGGTTTGGAGGCAGGTGAATCGTTGGAGGTATGATTGGTTACCAGTGCTGAAGGGTTTTCTCTCAGTGTGGGTTTATCACTAGCCTGAGCTTGTCTTGCGGAATCAATGGGTGCGCTTTAGCAGGAAAGAGAAGTTCCTTCCTTGTTTCCGGCAGTACTTTACCAGATTTCCTGATGAACGAGACCCAAGGGGAGAGTTCTCCAGCTATCAAATATGAAGATGCGGTTGAGTGGTTAAAAGGTAGGTGGCTAAATCAGTGGCTGTTCTGTATGCTGGTTTGCTTTAAATATCTGGATTGCGGTAATTGTCTGGAATATGATTTATTTAGAATCCCTGAATTTTCTTGAGTATAGTACCGGTAAGAATTTTTTTTAAGCATGAAAATATGAACAAAAGTAAGTCCATTAGGATAATCTTACACACTAAACTTACACAAAATCTCAATTATTCATCTCTCACCTTCAGTGGTTGATACACACACAAAGGAATTGATGTTCGTGGTTGCTGATTCAATTTTTGATGTTAATGCTGAGGTTAATGGTGGGATGGCAATGCCTTTTTTCTGGTTTTGGTAGCTGTTATGATGATATGATTGCCTTACATGAGAATGCCCAGTTCGTAGGATCCCTCCTGGTTATAGGGGCTCAAATGATATATCTAGTTAAGAATGACCCATGTCTATTTATGTTTCTAGCTCATTTACTAATTGAACAAAAGAGAAGAATTAGACTGCACTGGTCTTGTGGGTGACCAATTTCCGAGTGGGACAAGATTTGCTTTATCTCTGATGTGGTAGACTTAATTCCTTGCTGGGAGGTTACTGGTTGGTTGGTACAGGGTGATGGACATTAAAAACACTTTGGATTTTGGCCCTTTTCTTATTCTTTTTGAGGATTGTGTTATAGGAATTGTGGTCTCAAACTTGGCTCATTGCTGATTCTTTATTAAGTTGTTTTGTTCCTTTATGTCATCTTATGGGAGTATATGGTGGATTGAGGTGGATGCCTGCTATGGCTGGATAGGGTAGTTGGTGCTCTTACATGGCCTGTGGTTCGGGATGTGATTAAGAATGATTCTGAAGCTACAGAATCCAATACTCTAGAGTTGGTGTGAAGAAAAACTATTGCACTAGTTTGGCGATGGTGTTCCTAGATGTTGTTATGGCACCTGCTGGTAATCTGCTTAGATCTGAAAGCTTGGTATGGTTTTGTGCCTCTATAGCAACAGGGATTGGAGCACAGTAGTGCAACAATACCTTTTTATATCACCAAGCCTTTTCCATTTTACTGGTATTCTTCCAGAGAAGAATGATTCAGAGTTTACACCACAACACAACTTGGAAAAAAGGATGAGCTGCTGGCCTTTGGCTGGGGAACCACCACCCCGTTGCTTTCTCAATGTGGCTGCAGATCATTCTTCCTGAGTTGGCTATTTATCAATAGTTTCTGTGGCTTTGGTTTTCTTGATTTCTGTTATGTTTAGGTTGCTGGAGTCTTGTTGGTTGTACTTTAATTAATTTATGAATTAATATAGTAGTGTGCTTTTGTTGGCCAAAAAATTAAAAAAAAAAAAAAAAAGATTGGCCTTTATAGAATTTTGGCACATGTATTGTTTGACTCCAGGGCAATTGTTAAAGTTACTTTATGGTTAGATGAATCTGTCTAAAAGCTTATTGTGATTGTTCTATATATTGGTTCCATGGCATATTTGTGAAGTGAAGCACCTGATTTAGCTAATCTGAATCATACCTATCTCATGGAATTGGTTGTGCAATGTTCTGCTTAGTCTGTGCCTCTGGACCATTAGCCATTGATACGTTTAATTAACCAAATTGAATTTCAGTAACTAGTAGGTTAGTCTATGACATCTACTTGTTGGACTGTAGCTCATCATGATATGAATTACCTTATCTTTTGAGATCAGTTGTAACCTCATCCGCCCTGATAGGATACTCGTATTGGATACAAGCAAGCGTGACAACTAGTTCGGCAGGTTATTTTATTTCTTTTTTTCAAGGATTAAATTGTTCTAGAATGCAAGCTTTTACATACTTAGAGACTAATTTTTTTTTTTAAATGATCCTAAGGATACACCATCTACATTAATATGATGCATTTCAATAAATTAATTTCATTGGCAAAATTTGAACCTTAACTTAGTTTATGAAATAATATTTATTTATTAACAAATTTAATTTTTGAGACTATTTCAAGAGTATATTTGGTTAATAATAGAGTTGCATTTTAGGATCCCACTCTGGTCCAATAAAAGGAATTTGTTGAACAAGATCGGTTGCAGAAGCAAACAATTTTAGCAAGGACTCTGCGGACAGGGTTATGGCCACAGTTAAAAATATTAAGGTCAAAATTAAAACTATGGTCTTTAAAAAATATAGATATTTTTAAATTGAAATAATAAAAATAACTAATCATTATAATTAATAATTAATAAAATAGTTGATATTTATTAATTAATAAATTAAAATTAATTAACAAGTTAATATTTTTAGGTGCTAATAAAAAAAAACTAAATAATTGATGACTTTAACATTTTGTATGATTACAATACCACACCTGCTGTGGCAAAAATTTTCGCGTATGGGGCGCGGTGTTGAAGGCAGGCAGGTTATGGTGACGGAAGCTCCAAATTGGTGGAATAAAGGCTTCATTTTATAATAGTTTTTGATATTTTATCTTCTTTTTTTTTTATTTAAAAGTATATAAAATATTAGTTAAAATAAATATTAATTATATAAAATATATTTTATATATTTTTAAAATATTAAAAATAAAAAACTTACTATTATAGTTATACATTAATATTGTTAAACTAAATCAAAATTAAAGCAATGATGATAATAATAATAATAATAACAAAAAAAATTTACAATTTAAATTTATTTTAAATTATAAAATATTAAAGATTTGATAAAAATTCTCATTAATTAATTTTTATTTTATTATTTAAAATAATTTAAAATATCATCTTAATTAATAAAAAAAAAAAACAAAAGAAATGAATGCTCTCATTTGATCGGTCAACTCATTTCCAATTAGAGTACGAAATCGAAAATGCTATCCTTTAACAAAATTTTCAAAGTTCAGGGGCCCAGCTCATGACCACCCGCTCTCTCGAATGGTGTTTCTTTCCCATGACGTTGTAAGATGATTATAATGTGACATTAATTGAATGTTTAAGTCAGTTTGATATGTTAATATTAGCCAGATATATTCACAGCGGTGACAGTTCAAGGTTAATATTAGCTAGATATATTTATAGTGGTATTAAATTATCAATTAAAAAAATTAAATTGTGAAACTAATTAAATTTTTAACTTTATCGGCCATTAATTTCAAACACAGTGATTCGCCTTGATGCAAATACTATTGCAAATTCATTATCGAAATAAATATATATATATTTATATATTATTGGAAGTTTTCCTTTTTGACAATTGTGTTGGGAGGCTGAGTATTGTAATTTTGTCTTCTTCATCTTCTTTGTTTTCGGTTAAAATGTCAAATTTAGTCCTTGACTAAAAAAGTGGTAAAAATATTAAGCGACAAAAAAGTGCATAGCTGCAATGCAATGGATGGCATACATTTATTGTTTTGACTGATATTGACATTATTTGACATTGACTTATAAAAGAATGAAAGAATTTTAGTGTTGAATTTTTAATTTAGTTTCTCTATTATTATATATGAAATTTTTATTTATTTTCTAAACTTAATTTTTTTTATTATTTCTTAGTACAATTAAAGTAAAAAGATAGGAGTTTGCAAGATTGTGGTGGCCGGGTTGGATAGTGCTGGGAAAATGATGATGCTTTACAAACTCCATCTAGGGTTGGATAATGTGGAAAAAAAAATAACGGAATCAAGAAGAGGAGAGAGGTCTAGATTTTAGAGGTTTGTAGACAAAGGTAAAGTAGTAATTTCATTATATTTTACTTTATTGGCATAAAAAAATATTTATATTTTGTCTTTAAATGTTAACATGATTATTTTAATTTGAAAAGGACCTTAAAATATCTACATAAGCAATAGTTAATGAATAGTTATCCATATCATCTAAAATTTAATAAAACAACCAAAAAAGGACCAAATCTTTAAATTTTAAAGACCAAAATAAAAAAATTTTAAATTTTAGAACCAAGTTAAAACTCATAGAATAATTAAAGAATTAAATTAGGGGTTTAACCTATTGACTTAAGTCTGTTTAGCTTTTTAAATATGATCCTGAAGAATGCTGCGCAATCTATAGAGGCCGCCGTACAAAGCATCTGTCTGGGGGAGTACCAAGAGATTTGTTTAGGCAGTTTAGCTTTTTGGTTATTTGATTAAATTTATTTTGTTTTGGTGGGGGGGCCGGGGTGGGGGGGTGTTTAATTAAAAAATTGTAAATTAAATTTTAGAACCATAGAACAAGTTGAAAAGCTGATTTTTTTTTTCTATTTTTATCTTCCTGACTTGGGTTTTTTATTGCCCGCGTGTAAAAAGCTTGTGGTA